AACAGAAACATAAAGTAAAATATCTCCCCTGAGATGGCTGATCATAATGCACAGTATGGACAAGCACTGGGGGCTTCTTCCTCCCATCCATCCTTCACTGCCCCAGAATTATCTTTCTCAAATATGATGACCATGTCACCCTTCTACCTAAAAGTCTCTAATGCCTCTTGGGGTGCTTCAAGATGAAACCCAACATCCTGAGCACAAGTACGTGGTGCTCCTCTGCTGACCTAGCTGTCCTTTGCCACATGTGCTTTTAGAGCACTAATCCCCAAACTTTAGTTACTCACATTCTACCTTCACAATGTTTGCGACATTCATCTTCCCTCAGAATAACTGTCTGCTTACTATTTTTCTTTAAACCACGTACTATTTTTACTCAAATAAATTTATTCTCATTCAAAGCAATGTCTCCAAATCAAGGGTTTTTTTTAAGTTCATTTATTTATATTTTGAGAAAGAGAGAGAAAGCACAAGCAGGGGAGGGGCAGGGAGAGCAGGAGAGACAGAATCCCAAGCAGGCTCCGCACTGTCAGCACAGAGCCTGACGTAGGGCTCAATCCCATGAACTGTAAGACCATGACCTGGGCTAAAATCAAGAGTTGAACACTTAACCAACTGAGCCACCCAGGTGCCTCTGTAAATCAAGTTTTAATGTACTACTTATAGCTTTACTAAATATTATCACTATTTAAAATTAATTTTTAAATTCAAAAATGCTACCTCTGTGTCTCACCTAAATCTATCAGTCACACAACCCACTGTTCATGTAACACACATTGGGATGTGCTACTTTAGGCAGAAACTACAGTGAATTTTTACCCTTCAGTACTGAGCATACTGTGCCTTTGAACCTGTTGTTCCCTCCTCTTAGAGTAACCTTTCTATTACCTATAATGTTTCTCTCTTCCTTTAGGACTCAACTCAATCCAAAAGGCACCTCTCCTTTAAAGCTTCCCTAAATCATAAAGTTAGATGCTCCCCCTCTGAATTCCAAAGCAATTTTTATCTGCCTGCATTGTAACATTTATCACACTGCAGAGCCTTATGAAACAGAGTACTCTAGTCATCTTTGGGTCATCCTGTTACCCACTTAGATGCTCAGAAAAATGTCTGCTAAGTAAAGGAAGAATAATGAATTATAGAGCCAAAGATAAGCTACACACAAGCCATTTATTGTATAAACATTCCAGCATAGTATTACTTCTGCTAAGTAAAAGACATCCTAAAATCTCAATGTATGAAAGACCTCTCTGTAATTATCAGAAGGGACCAACAAGCAAATTTAAAGGTATTCCAAGTACACGGCAGAAAGAACACAGAAGAACTGAGAAGGGAGTATAGAATTATATTAAATTTCAATGTAAAATTTTTACAAAAATCTGCTTGCAGAGGTTCTAGTTATCCTTTTTAGTAATCTGCCATTTAACAATCACTTCCTAACTGCAAACTTTTTAAATTAAAGCTAGAGAAGCAAATTTAAAATAAAGCAAAGGGTTATGAAAGCAGAGATCAAGCATGGTTACTTTAGAAGAAATGACCTCACTGAAAATGAAAATTATATCACTAATATGTGAAGTACTCAGAATAACTGCTCCTCAATACCAGCACTGTGTTATAACTGAGGAAATGCCCTTGTCCTATTACACTTTCCTAGGCTTACAGAAGAATGAACCAGAAAATGTTGAGAGATGCAGTATCAGGTTTGGCAGATTTTTTAAAAATCTGTTTTAATCCCAACAAGACATTTACTCTCTCTTGTCTTTACTTTCCTCATCTGTAAAAAGCAGTTGACAGATATATTAATGAATAGGCATTCAAAACCGGTAAAAATGTGAGTGTATATACTTTAATACTCTGGTTTTACCTGAAAAAATATAATGACTCTACAAATATATTCTCTGAAGTGCTGTTATTTAGGCAAAGAGAGCAACCTGAATGTTCATAAATTTGGTCACAGTTAAGCACTTGCTGAATACCTGATGTAGAGTGACTTGCATTCCCCCAAAATCATACATTGAAGTCTAAATACCTCGTACCTCAGAATGTGACTTTATCTGGAGATAGGGCCTTCAAAACAGTAACTAATTTTAAATGAGGTCATTAAGGTGGGTCCTAATCTTACATGACTGACATCCTCATAAGATGACATTACAACACAGACACACACACACAGAGATGCCCGTGTTGAGGACACAGAACAGACACAGCCATCTACAAGCCCAGGAAAGAGGCCTTAGGATAAACAGCCCTTCCGGCACCTTGATCAGGACTCGCAGCGTCCAGACCTGTGAGAAAATACACTTCTGTTGTTAAAGCCTCCCTGCCTATGGTACTTTGTCATGGCAGCTCTAGAAAATTCATATAGGTACTCTCCAGGCCCTCAAGAGGAGATAGGTATGCAAAAGGGTAAACAGTGTGGTAAGAAGGTTAGGATGAAGCAGATTATGAATGTTATCAACTCAGCACAATTGTATGTAGTGTTTGAAATTATAATTACAGACAGCATATAGCAACCTGGGAAATGTTCATAAAAATTATTAAGTGAAAAAGGAAAGTACCACAGTATATCTATTCTATGAAAACTATAAAAAAGGGTTTAACAGGCAAAAATAAATAGATTTAGTTTTTTTTTTTTT